ATTGCACCATCGGTTCGGTTTTTTTCACCCCATTCGGTTCGGTTAACCGCGGTTTTCGGTTTTAACAATTCGAATTGCCATCCCTAAGAACTTGGAAATGAAATTTCATCTTCCACCAAAAGTCACGTTTGATTGTGAAAATTTTCTATGCAATTCCTTTTCCACAAAATGCCTCACACAGTTCCAATTCCTTGATTTTGAGGAAAATCAATTCAGGCTACTTTTTTTTTTTTAAAAATGGAAACAAATTATATCATTTTAATGGACAATTTTCATATAAAACAAAGTCAAACGAATACAAAAAGATCTAAAATTTCAATATTTTCCACGTGAAAAATTATACTAATCAAACACAATTAATTGACAATTTCTATGAAAACAATTTTAGGCAATTCAATTCCTTGAAATTCATTTTCTTTCCACCTAAATTCCACTTTTACAATCAAAAGGATCCTATTTTACCGNAATTCCTTGAAATTCATTTTCTTTCCACCTAAATTCCACTTTTACAATCAAAAGGATCCTATTTTACCGTTGTATCTCGCTTATGTCCTCACCACTAAACATGTCGTAATAATATATCTAAGAAAAATGATTTGCTAAGCATCACTGAGATGACACAAAAATCCATTTGTGGTGGCAAATTTAATCAAATATTGAGATCATCATAAATTTATACACCAATAAATTAATGTGACATATTATCAATACTTAGTATAAATTAAGTACATGTTTAATAAATCAGTTCTCGTATATCTATTGCTTAACAATATTGCTAAGTGGTCCTTTGAAAACTCGCAATGAATGAGATCTTGAACAAGTAATAAAATAGTGTGTAGAGTGTACCCACAAGGACTACGTGTTTGATCGAGTTAAAATTAATTCCAACTTAATAGCAAAAAAATTTTGTGATTTTTTATACTAATCCCTAAATTATGAATTAAACTAATGAAAGTAAGTAAATGTGTTTTTATTCAAAAATGTGAGATGCGTTGCTAAGACGTCGAATCCCCCTTGTTATTCCATTTTTAGTGTAACAATTAAAGTAACAATTTGAAATCATTTATGTTGGTTAATGTTCTTAATTTAATTGAAAGCCTCTCTCGATAGCCATCAAATCTATTCCCCTCATGTGACATTTCTCTCTCTCGATGAAAGATGCAAACATGATAAATGTATTACTAAGTGCTAGAATACCTATTGAAACAATATAAAGCATAGATATATATATGTTTATCCTCTATCGAACATTACAATATTTATTATATTGTGCTTAAACCCTATTGTCTATCTCGATAATAATAAAATTTACTAACAATTCAATTGGTGATCAAACAATTGAAAAGAACGATATGATGAAAATAAACATCCACAAATCAAATCAAATTCAGTCAAAATAATTAATTAAAAATAAAAAATATCATAATTTAGCATAACATATTGAAATTACAAGAAATAATTAAGTGAAAGATATAACCCAAATTTTTGATAAACTGAGAAGATGAATTTTGAAATCTTGAATCTCTTCAATGGTTTCTTGATTGATTTCCACTTGCGTCTTCTCTTCTTTATCCAAAAATCAAATTTGAATCTTCACTTGATTGAATTCTTACAAGCCCCATTCAATTCTCTCAAAAAAATATGGTTTTTTCTCATTTGATGATAATAATTGATGAGCATTGGAGTATAATATGCTTATCAAATGTTTTTAATACATATTCTGCTGTTCAGTATTTATAGGAATCGAAAATTTGTTAAAAATCATATCCAAATTGACTTCCAACAGAGTTTCAATCGAATAAGAAAAATTATCTTCGCGCACGAATTTTTTGTCTCTGCACAGAAGTCAGATTGAAGCAATTTAGACATTTACTATGTCAAATATGGGTCTCAATCCTCGATTAAAAATCTGGAATATAACATGTGCGATTGAAATTTGATTTTTATCATATTCCATTCCTTTTTGAATTCTAATGTCATCAAATTGTCTCATAACAATCTTCAAAGTATCATCTTGTTGTCCAAATCAATTATTGAATTTGCAACTTTGGTCCTTAATAATATATTTTTAATTTCTTATTTTTTTATAATAAATTTATGTTATACACTTTTCACCACTGCAGTAGTCATTGCTAGCCTAACCATTTGTAACAAAGTAACAACGTGGTAACGGTGCGGTCATAACATTCATTGTTATACAATCTTCACCAAAATCTGCACCATCGTGCCACCACCATCCCTTACACACATTACAACAATGGCAGTATCCAAATCCCCCTTTCTCAAAAATAAAAATCAGGCAAAAAATTCACCACACAAAAAAGCTCAAGCTAAAGCTCCACCATCCTACCACCAAGCACCACCACCACAAAACATTGAGTTTTTCCCTCTCAAAACTTCCCATTTCAAACCGTCTAATCCCATTTCAAAACTTCAAGATAACAGGTCGAACTTGTGTGACCCTAGATCCAAGTCCTCCAACAGTCGAAAGTTCATTTATGAATAAGGTGAATCATTTTTTGGCCACCGTTAGCCTATAGGAGTTTTGGTTGTAAGCGATCAAGTTTGATCATTTTTGGTAGATTTTCGAATCAAACAATTTTAAAAGCTTGAGAATAATCCAAATCTTAACCAAACCATATAAAAACATAACAGCTTGGTTCGATTTTAAACTGCAATTTGGCCGCATATTTTTTTGTTCACTTTATCATTTCTAGTTCAATGATTATAAATTATTTTTATAGTTTATTGATAATAAAAAGTTACATATATTAAACTATAAATATCAACAAAATCAAAGAAAAAGTCTGAAAAATTGGGTCATGAAATTAGGGTATAACTAATTATTGATATATGGTAATGGGCATTTGACCAAATTACCCATTTTGTATTAAATTTCAATAGTTATATTTTATTTTAAAGGTTAATATTGTAATTTATCGGTCTAATATTTGATTAAATATTAATTTATTTTTAAATGATTTGATTGGATTTCAAGTCGTCATTAAAATTTTGAATGACTTATTTTCAAATTTCGTTAATGAGACCATATGACACCAAATAGATTATTTTAAAAAGCGATTTCAATTTGATTTTGCTGTTTGAAGGGTTTTTGTGTGCATCCCTAGTGGTGGGGTGTGATGAATGTTGGTGATGGTAAACGGTGGAGGGGTGGTGGTACATGTTTGGCAGTGTTGTTCTCGGTGGTTGGTGGCGGTAATGTGCTGATGGAGGCGGTAAATGTTTGTAATAAATGGAAAAAGTCAGTAAGTATAAAATAAAATAGAATTAAAAAAAAAATTGGAATTTAAAAAAATTGTCAAAGTCGATAGCATAATTTCCTCTTTATATATATTTATATATTCCTTTAATCACGCGTCTATTTTGTATGCACAAAAGTTGAATGGGATATATTTGCTATTTCCTTAAAATTCCAAGAAAGCCCTTCTTGCACATTCAAACAGCGTGTGGATATTTATTACCCCTTCTGCAAGAAGTCAAAGGACACGAAAATCCTCAATCCAAGATCTACAAAAACATAGAAGCTTCCATGGAATTTTATAATTGTGCTTGCAAGACTTTCAATTTCTTTGACTACTCGCCTCTTTGATCAATTCTTCCAAAGAATTATTTAAATATTTCTTATGCGTCTCTCAATATTTTCTTGATTCAATCTTATATGAAAGTCCATCTAATCACAATCCTTAGACAATTAAACTTACATCCTCGACCAAAAACAAGAAAAGAATAACCTTTTATTGATCAAAACCTTCTTCAAATGTGCAGTCCATTCACTTGTGGAGGCTTTAACATTCAAGAAGATGATGAGCTTTTGAGGTCATGTAACTATTCTCCTCCAAAGATATCAAAAAGGAACACCAGTTTTGGCAGCAGAAGAAAAGACAACAAGAACCCGTATGCCAATAGGGGTTTAGAGAAATTCTATGCACTTTTAGCAGATCTTGATGAGAAGAGACAGAAAATATACACACAGATGGGCTTTGAAGATGTTTCTCTCGTCCGTTTTGTTTACTCCAATTCCAATCATGTCAAGCCCATCGTTGTTAAAGTGAAAGAGAGAAGATCACAAGACCGCAAAGCAAATGCTCGCCTAACTAAAAACAACTCTGAAGCGTCCGAGAAGTCACCAGTAGAGATGTCCGAAGGTTTGGCCATCACAAATGAAGTTCAACAAGTAAAGGACGAACAATCCGACCGAAGGAATATGAAGTGTTGCTTGATATGTGGAAGGTTTAAGTTGGAAAAGTTTAGGCAACCATATTACTATTTTCTGGTGGTTATACTGTTTATTCTTATGTTATTGGCTATTTTTGGGCGACCTTTTGCCATATTGTGTACGTCTATTGGGTGGTATTTAATACCTACAATCAAAGGAGAGAGCTCAGATTCAAGCAAGCAAGAGAAGAAAAAAGAATATGTTAAAAAAGTGAGTGAGAAAAAGATTGTTACAAGTGAAGGATTGTCTTCCCCAAGGAGTGTCCTAAACGGACCAAAAGACAAGTCCCCTCGAAAGCATGGCTAAGAAAATATGGTGAAGATTGATGCTTCAAATATTTAATTTCTTGTGAATTCTTTCTCTCCTCTTTAGTTTTCCCCCCTTAAATCTTGTTATATATTTTTACGGGTTAGAGAATTTGTTTTTGTTTGTCTTTTATGATTGTAAATATTTTTTGGATTGTGTTTCACTTTTGGCATGTTCTTTAGTGTTTATTGTATTCACGTCTTCAAGTTTTGTTGTGTGCCTTTGATTATTCAGTTTAAAAGTTACGTTTTTTTTCTATATCAAGTGTACGATACCAAATAAGTAATAAAGTATATATAGGAGTCTAGATAATTGTTCCACAAAGACTATTATTTATTCCTAATTTACTGCTTTTTAATTATTATTTGACGAAAAATAAATTCTAATTAGGTGATTGTTTATCTAAATTATACTAAATATTTGAATGTTATTGTACGCACACAAAAATTGAATTAAGATTTTGAATATAAAGGAGATATTAGGACACACAATTTCATTTATTGATTACCTTTAATTTTCAAATAAGGAATCTTAACTTAATGTCTTGATCCATAGAATTCTTCTAACGTATTTAATTTATCTTTCTCAAGTTCAAATTAATTCTATTTAATTAAGTCAATTTCATATCTCTATGAAAATCAAAATACATCTTAGTTAAACACGTTAAATTTTTAAGAATCAATGTAACGATTGCATTAACTTGAAAATGTATCTCTACGCTATTATATTAGTTCCCAAATTTTATTACATGATCTAAGTCTATAAATTGCCTCTCGACTCATTATAAATTCACAAGAATGTTGAATTATTGGTCAAGTATTCAAGCATTAAACACTATAAATAAAATCAACAGGTGAATTTGAAGACTAGAATCTTGAAAATTGAATTAAAAGGGCCCAATACACTACATTTTTTGTCCTAACAAAAAGATTAACTACTCATACAGTATGAAAATAATAATAATAACAATAATGGAGTACTCATCTGGTTTTGAAGTGAGATGTAGAGAATTTGATGAATCTTGCACCAAGATCCTCTTTTTGCTCCAAATCTTGATTCCAAACCCTAGTTCTTGATTTTCTTCCTTGTTTTCTTCTAATTCTCTAGTGTGTGGAAACATTTCCTCATCTAATTCAAGTCTTTATATAGTATTGCATCTCATTAAGAGTCCTCATAAATGATAAACTCGAAAACGGGCAAAAGAAAATAAAAAATCCGCGGCCCACCCCAGGGCCACTCTTTTATTGCTATTTGGTCCTTCAACATTTTGAAACTTTCATTTTGATCCCCAAACTTTTTAGTTGCCAATTTTTTCGTCTTTGAATTCATCCAAAATTCTTCGAGTTAATTTATTTCAACATCAGATGATCTTCAAATGGCCAAATTAATCTTCAATTAAGCTCAAAATCTTTTTGTGTCAATTGCACTCAACCTCAATATTTTCCTACAAAACACATAATTTCACATAATTAGGTTGCAATCCGCTCAAATTCATCATAATTTATAAATATTACAAACATAAATAAGTGCGTAAAACATACTTAAGCAAACATCTCCAAACATAGATTCTTGTTAGTCCTAAGCAAGGTTATTTGCCCAACACACATGCACGCAACAATTAACAAGTTAAATAGACTATCGCATTTGCCTCAGGATTCAAAACGGCTGAAGTAATTCACAAAAAGTTTCTACGGTTTGCTGCAGAAACATAGTTTAACTTGTCCAATGCTAGACCAATGTGTGTTTGAGTGCATAATCAATTCAATCACATACTTCTTCGGGTTGATTAAATCTCAATCCTCAATGGTCAATTATTTCTTTCTTCACTCGTGAGATGCACACTCTCAAACTTTCTATAACTATTTTCCCAACGTGTGATTTAAGGTTGAATTCATACAATAATCCTTACTCGAGTTTGGTTGGATTTTACTAATTTAAGTGAACACTTCTATAAATAATGATTCTCCTATATTTTTTTATTGCTTCAATCTCTAAGACTCACTTAAGCTAATAATCTCTTCTCAAAAATCTAATTCTTTCAAATAAGTATTTGAGGCTTAATCTAGGCATGTAGTATGTATTTTGTTTCATGCACCCGCTTTTTCAAGTTTGTTGTACGTATTCTGTTTTATGCATTAGCTTGACCCTTTTGAGGTTTTTTTGGGATTTTCAATTAGTATTCTCATTGGGATCTTTTATAGGGCTAAGTTCACAACATGACAATTTTTTTTATACAATGATTAGTGCAATGTCCCTCATTCAACACTGACAGTTTTTTTTCTTTTTTATACAATGATTAGTGTAATACTCCTCATTAAACACTTGTTTTAAAAAATCGATCCTTGACTTAAGGTTTTTACTTAATTTTCATCTATGGACTTACACAATTCATACAAAATTAGCACACTCGAAATACACATTTATCTTTTCTTTTTCTTATAACCCTGGATGTCCGGACCAATTTGCTCGCACCTTCACTAATCCCACGAGGCCATGAAGTTTACAGTCGAGTACTCACCTCAGTGGCTATGAGGGGATTCAAACTGGTGACCATTGGGGAGCAAACTCAAGGTCTAACCAATTGAGCAAACGTCTCCCTACAACTCAATTACCTCAAACTACCCTAAAGTTGGTTTAGTAGTTGTGTTGTCTATTTTGGTTTAGGTTTTGAAAACCTATGGTCGTAATCAATTCATCATATTCTATCTATTGATCCAACCTAAATAATGTGTAATTTTTTATGATTATTGTGCTCAATATAAATCAATCTTACATGTACAAGCTTCAACTTAGGCAAATATTCTATCTATTGATCCAACCTAAACAATATGTGATTTTTCATGATTATTGTGCTTAATATAAATCAATCTAACATGGACAAGCTTCAACTTAGGCAAAGAAGCATTCCCTAGTCACAATTCATAATAATAATAATAATAATAATAATAATAATAAATAAATTCAAGTAACATCATCATAGGCCAGCAAGTCTATCCATGCACACAAACATAATTTTTTTATTATTTTTTTTATTATTATTTTATTCTAACCTCTATGATAGTCATATAAGTACAAATCACACCCCAAACTTAAACTACACATAAGTCCCTAATGTGAAAAAGAAAAGTAAAAGGAGAGATTATACCGAGCTTTTCAATGATCCACTGGAGGTGGTGGTGGATCCTGCAACCAATGGAATCGTCCCAGAAGTATCTTCATCTCTTGATGATACTGACAATGATGCTCTTCCATGGAATGAAGCGCGGGAAGAAGCATGTCTTGTCTCTCCTGCAGTTGCCTCTAACCTTCATGCAATTGTCTTTGCCCATCATATAGCTACCTTTGCTCTTCCTACAGCTTCTTAATAGCATCCTTTTGATTTTGCATAGACGTCGGATGTGCCTCAATGATGGTCTAAAGTTAACACCACCTTGACAACCGAGTCTTGGTAGGAGGATCGAAACTTATTTGTCAATTGGTTCGTCTTCTAGAGGGGCAATCTTCTTGTGCATTCTTTTCTTCTTCATCTTATTCCGCTTCTGCTGCCAGTCTCACATGCTTGTGCCAGTTTATCTGTGACGCTGATTGTCTCATTGTTGTAAGGCATAAAAGTTGTGTCGCCTTTTTCTCTATTACAGATAGTGTCATAGGCACTTCCGCTCTTTTGCAGCATGCAAATATCAAACTAGACATTTTCAGTTTTTTACGACCTCTAGGATCCATAGAAGCGTCCCTAATTGTGTTTGCCCAGAATTTGAGTGGTATCCTGTGGTCAGACTGTACAACAACATAATCTTCGGTATATAAATGGTAGTATTATGAGTTGTTGGAATCACGTTGCTTGAGAAAATTATGGAAGAAGCCTAGTACTCAAGTATAACTGTGGAACTAAATGGAATCCATACTCCATGCACATATTTTTTTAGATAGTACTCACTTTCTTCCTCCATAATATCTACGTTGAAGTTACACATGAATTTTCTTACTTGCTGTGTGTAAACCTTATGGGGTTTAGCATACAATTTGTTCCATTCCTTTTCCTTTGACAATGTCCAATATGCTCATGAAATACAATTGGTCTAGTAGGACTTCCCTCTCGCGAAGAAGAGTCTAATTATAGAATATATCTGCCCATCATGCCGTTTCCTTAGAAATATACTAGAGGACTCGACAATTCCCTTGCCCTTGTTAGCTTTAGTAGTTGAGGCTCTTAGAGGCATTATAAAAGAGTTATTTCCTACAAAACATAAATAAAATGTCATAATTATAATTAATCAATTTGCATAAAGAAATGTTTTTTTTTCCGATAACCGTGGATGTCCGGGTCAGTTTACACACACCTCGACTAATTTCACGGACCCTGAAGTTCACGGCCGGGTACTTACCTCAATTGCCTTGAACGGATTCGAATTGGTGACCATTGAGAAGCAAATCCAATACATGAACAATTCAGCAACATCATAAGATAAAGTGAATAGTGTAAATTCACATTAAGAGTGGAAGTGCCTACGACACTATCTGAATGCGATATAACATCGTAAGAGTTTTGGGGTTATAGTAGCCAAGAATGAGTTTGAAACTTTTGAACAAAGATATGCTGTGTAATAGAGAAAAAGCCTAAGTATAAACAATTCCTTTCTACATAATTGATATTTAAAGTTTAGCACATAAAGGAATTATGGGCAAACATTGGCAAACACCTAGGTGTAGACTTTCAACAAACACCTTGTGCGCAAGAAAAAGTTTCGACTAAAAATCCACTCATATTCAATTCTCAATCCAAACCCGTAACCTTCTTCAACTAATAATCATCAAATCCCAACACTTTCTACAATCCAACAATTCTAATTTACATTCTAAGCAACTCGCATTCAATGTTTTCCTACAATCTTTGCAAAATAAAGTTTTTTCAAAATAGTAGAAATTATAAAATAGTTCGAAACTTACCTTGAAGATTATGACATAAGTGGAATAGGAGGTGCAATATCTTATATGTGTGA